TGAACCGATTTCCTCTGCCTTTGAGTATCCCTGCTTTCTGAAACACTTTTTCCTTGCAGCAGCGATGTTTACCGGGTTTGAACAAAAGCCCTGTATCTGAGTCATGAGTATAAGAGATGGTGTGGAGTGCCTTCAGGGAACAGACGGAAATGAATGCCCCCTGCCAGTTATTAATTGGTGACTTTGCTGCTTGCCTGGAGGCCATGTTTGTTTGAGGCTGGTTTGTTCAGAGAGGTCTCTGACTCTTTCCTGGCTTAATTGAACTTTCTCGTTGCTGCTCTCTGCAGGTCAGATGCAGAAACCTTTTGAAGATGCCTCATTTGCGCTGAGGCCTGGCGAGATGAGCGGACCAGTTTTCACAGATTCAGGGATCCACATCATCCTCCGCACAGAATGAAGTGCCTTGGTGACAATGTAGAAAGGAAAGGGCGAGGGGAAGAAAGGAAAAATCTACGCCAACCCTGCACTCTCCCGAACGAACTTCATATACAGTTTAAAAAAAAAAAAAAAGCTCATTTCATATCTCAATACCTTCTGTGGCACCTGACACAATGTTTTCCACCTGTAGAGATGCATGGTTAGCCAAGGATGATAATGCAATCAAAATAAGACAGTAGCATCTTTCATAAGCAGAGAGAATGTTAAAATTTTCTGGCATGCCACAGCTGCTTGAGTTTTTTATTGACAATTCCTCAGTTTAGGAGATGTGTCAATGCTAAAGGTCACACTTCAATGCTTCTCACATCCACCTTATTAAAGATACAGAGTATTTATTACAGTACTGCACTGATGGTGGCAAAATTGACTTGTGAGCTCTGGTGTTACGATGGAATGAAATCCCCACCCAGCTTCCCTGCACATTTGTTTAAAAAAAAAATCCAGAAGAAATGGCATTTGGTCTGCAGCCAGCTCATTTGTTCGCAGAACCGATCTGTTAAAGTTATTTAAAAATTGACCTTAAGACACCAAGCAAAGAGCTAGGCTGGTCCAGTTCAGCCAGTCTCTTGTGCCTGCCTGTAGCTACTCTTCATTCAGCTGTCCGTATGTCCTGCCGCACGATGGTACCTGGAGCTCCCTCCACCTCTGCCATTTCGTTGACTTAAAACTTGAAGATGCCTTTTGGTTGTAAGGATAAACAGAAGAGGTTATTGGACAGTAGTTGCAGTGTAGGAAGGTCTCTAGCCAGTTAAACTGTGTAGAGGTATGTAGAATGCTGTGTGTTAATCATCCCAGCATGAGATCACTCCATCATTGAGGTATGAGTGCCATTCTGTAGGAGGGACTGTAATACAGGATTCCAGTCTAGAGAGAAGGCTGTTTTCCTCAAGCTTCTTTTTATCCACTTGTGGTTAAACACTGTAAGTCATTGTTTCCAGTTACGTTGCATTGCTTATGTTTAGTAAAATAACAGAAAAAAATCCCAGCTTTGGTCCAGTGCAAACAAGCTATATAGTTCCAATTCTCTTAAGCAGAAAATAAAGCCCTCTCCAATTAAACATTTCAGATGCTCTGGCATTGATTATTTCCCCTCTCACTGTAAAGATCTCTTTCTTCCTGTTTGAAAAACAAAACCAACCCGTATGCAGCACGCATAGAGAAGATTGTCTGATTTGGTCATAAAATGGAAATGCGACTCCTCTGGGATCAAAAAATCTGTTCTCACCAAGTCTCTGGGTCTTAAAACAGAATCAGGCAAACATTATGCTCCCAGAAACTCAGGCCAGATTCTGTCATTTCTTGCTTGTGCTGGGACTTGCCTTTCTCAGCAAGCAGTTCTGCTGATATCTTGGTGTAGGGTGCTACTCCATATAACAGTGGCACCTCTGACTTTTTAGCTTAATTCAGTAACTGTTTTCCTGCTTCTGTTCTGCAAATCTACAGAGGTTTCCTTCATGATGTCAGGCCAGCCATAACAGTGAATGGCTCCTCTGTGTGCTTTAAAAAAAAAATAAAAAAATAGAACTCCCGTCTTGTTTGGAAATGGGGAAAGACGACATCTCCCAAAAGCACCCTCCAATTAAGGTGATCACCTAAAGCGAGAGGCATCTGAATATTTCTTGCATTTCTGCTTCTGCTCTTTCACTTGCTAGCCGGGTTGGGGAAATAGAAGGCTCTTGTGCCTCAGATGAAAGTTGGTTTCCATAGCAACACATTGATTTTAAAAAAAAATCTAGCTATGGGGTGACAAGCAGGTGAGAACTTAGAAAAGGAAAATTACCTCAAATTACTGTGCAGTATCTTATAAGCAGGATCAAAGATAAATAAAGGGAAGTGGAGATGTCATATCAGTAGTGAAGTGTGGTGCAATAGCAAAAGTGTTGGCAGCTAAATGTTTTCTGAAGCAGCCTAAGCTGTGGGTTTTTGTTTCCCCAATTGTAACAGGCTTAAGTCTGAGCTACACAGGTCCCAGTATTTGGTTCATTTCCCTGTCCTCCCTCCAAAAGGTGCAACAGCAGTCAGGATATAAACTATGCGATGCATGAGAAGCCTGGAAGGATTTACAGGTGGGAAGAGGTGGAATAGATCAGGGCTGCTCAGTTGTAGGAGGTGGGATGGAGAGAACGTAGGGCAATCACTGTTATTTCAGCCTGTTTTGTACAGGAGGAACAAGGTGACTGGTTTTACTGGTAAAGGATGCGAGACCTATGGGGACTCTGCTGGAAGCTACGGCCCTGGGTTAGATTCCAGAAAGCATTTGGCACAGACCGGCTGTTCTCATTAGCTAGATATTGCTTGTTTTCCTGGGTGTGTTCCTGCTGTGTTAAACATGCTGTGCATAGTCCCTGACCTGGACGAAGTGCCATCCCACAGTCAGCAGCTCCTGTGAGCACAGGCATGAAACAGCTGCTGAGTGGAAACTGGGAAAATCTTACCCTTATGAGCACAATTTTTCCTAATGGTCCACTGTGAGATTTACTCATGTTGGGGACTGGAGATGGGGCTAAATGGGCTGCTGGTCTGAGCTGCTCTCGCTCTTCCCATGAGCATGCCTAATTGGGCTCATCCAGACCTGTGATATACGTGGAGAGGTGTCCTGCATTGCTGCCTCCACAGCAAAAGCACTTAAGTGCTTAGTGCTTCCGTCAATAATGCCACCTGACCAGCCCTTTTCCTTTTCTGGCCAGGAGGCCCTGCTGTGGTAGTAGCAGAAATAGCTGACCTGGGATTCCCAAGAAGCAGGTTCCCTCTGGGCTGGTAAGTCTAGGGCACTGTATGCTGCCTTGTTCTGTCATCCTGGTGTTTGAGTTGTGTGTTCTTGGGAGCCTTGTGGTAGTAGGAAAGCGTGACATTGCTGCTGCCCAGTTGATCAAGATGTTTCTGTAGGCAGAGCCGAGGTGATGCAAACTTTTGTTTATACCTCTGGGAGCCCTATTAGTGTGTACCACCTCTACCCCATCTGCAGCAGTGACTCAAACGCTGGGACCCTGGGACACCGGTGTGCTGGACTCAGCCTATTAACATGCGGTGGGGCTTAGCTGGAGAGGGATTTCTTGACGAAGCATGCTTTGCGGTGCAATCCCGTTGCTGGTCACTGCTTTTATGACCTGAAAATACAGCAGCCCCCACCTGGAGGAAGGAAAAGCACTAGACAAAGACATCCCTGCTGCCTTGATGCAGGTCAGGCATGTTAGCTCTCTCAGTTCCATCAGCCAAGGTTCTAGTGTTCCTGCTGGCAGCATTTCTTACCATTTGCAGGAGGATGCGCAGCTGGCATGGAGATGCTAATTGAGCACGGGAAGATGGGCTGACTGGGATCTTGTGCCTGTCCTCAAGTGCCCCTCTGCTGACGGACCTGCTGTCTGTTGGCAGGGAAA